CTAACAACAACAACAACAACTCAGATTACTTGCTGAGCATACAGGTTGAATAAGTATGGTGAAATAACACAATCCTGTCACACATCTTTCTTAATTTTAAACCATTCAGTGTTCCCATGTTCTGTTCAAACAACTGCCTCTTGGTCCATGTATAGATTCCTCATGAGCACAATTAAGTGTTCTAGAACACTCATATTTCGTAATGTTGTCCATAGCTTGTCATGAGCCACACAATCTAAGGCCTTTGCATAGTCAATAAAGCACAGGCAAACATCTTTCTGATATTCTCTGCTTTCAGCCAAGATGCAAATCAAAACAACAATGAGTAAAGGATAGACTTGTAACTATGCAAAACAGCAAGGACTTGCAGAACCACCCTATCTATACTCTGAGATTAGAAATAAACTTTGTCACTTGCCATCAGCTTGTGTCCCTTGCCTATTCGTTAATCCTTGCCTCTCATCCGGGAAACCCACGCAGTGGTCTGAACAGGTCTCGGACCCCGATAAGTGGTGCCCAAAACGTGGAACTTGAATACGAGAGATAACACGATGGACCCCCCAAAACAGACCCGAAGAATAAAGACTCGCGGACATTAAAAGAAGGGAGGGCAATCCGATCAGGTAAGTATGGGAAACAAACTGGGAAGAGCACGGTATGTAGATATGTTGAGAGAAATGCTACGTAGCAGAGGTGCAAAAGTAGATCATAGCCAGCTTTGTAAATTCATAGACTTTGTAAATACTGTCTGTCCTTGGTTCCCTGAGGACGGAGTGGTTGATGTTAAGTTATGGAATCAGATAGGTCATCAACTGCAAGAATATTATGCTAAGAATGGCCTGTCCCGGGTGCCTGCCTATACATTTAGTTTGTGGTGGCTTGTCCAAGATACTTTTGATTTGAGCAGCGATCATCTGGGAGGCAGTTCCACAGAACCAAACGCTCCACCTCCACCCACATACCTTGATTTACAATCTTTACCGACTTTGAGCATAGAAAAAGAATTGCGGGATGAGAAACATGAGGATAAGAAAGAAAATGATAGTGGGGATGAAGCCTGGCCAGATTCTCCGGTCAGTGCTCTTTTTCCAGTCAGCATAAAGAAGGAACAAGAAGAGGAGAAGCCGCGCCCTAAAATGGCGCCGGCACCGGAAGGACAAGGAAGTAAGAGAGGCAGTAGTAGATAAGGCAGAAGAAGAAGGGCCGCACCCTAACATGGCGCTGGAAAAAGAGGAAGCGCCCAGGTGCAAGTCTAATTCCCCATTAACTTCTGGTGAAACGCCTGAGGGAGATCTAAGATCTGTGCTGAAAGAAGTTTTAAGTCAGTTAAAAGATTTAACTTTAGAGAAAAAGGCGTTGACTGAAACTATACAGCAAAAGGAGGAGCAGTGGTGCGCTGCCCTTGCTGACTTAGCCAAAGAAAGAGAGGCTAGGACTCAAAGAGAAACGACGACTCCATTACGCTTGAACCCCTGTGCCACCGTTCAGTCTAATACCCCAGTGATTGCCCCTGTCACTGTAAAAATAGCTACCCCAAGATACTCCCCGATACAGGCAGCATTGCTTGATGGAGCAAGACAGGGGGACGAGTTGTCTGGTTTTCAAATGTATCCAATTGTGCGGATACCCGCTGGTCAAGATGAGCACAGTAGAGATGTGGAGACTCGCACTCACAGCTCTTTACCCTTTAAAAGTTTAAAAGAGTTAAAAATGGCTTGTGCTCAATATGGGCTGAATGCTCCCTTTACACAGGCTTTGATAGAACTAGTCTGTGAAGAAGCCTTGCCTCCTTTAGATTGGAAAAATATCGCCCGTGCCTGTCTTGCAAGAGGTGATTATTTGTGGAAATCTGGGTATTATGAGGAAGCCCGGCATATAGCAAACCTTAACAACAATCAGCGGAATGGGGGAGCCACATCTGACATGTTAGTAGGGGAAGGGGAATATAATACCATAGAAAAGCAAATTATGTATCCTATGCCTGCCTATGCTCAGATTAATCAGTACGGACGAAAAGCTTGGAGATCCATCCCCAACACCGGTAAGCAAACTACTGAATTATCAAAGGTGTGTCAGGGTCCTGATGAGCCTTTTCAAGACTTTGTCTCCCGACTACTTCTTACATCTGGAAGGATCCTGGGTGATTCCCCTGACTCTCTGACCCTTGTAAAACAGTTGGCCTTTGAAAATGCCAACAATGCTTGTCAGATGGTTATTCGCCCGTTCAAGAATAAAGGCAGCTTAGATGATTACATTCGTCTTTGTGCTGATGTGGGACCCTCATACAATCAGGGCCTGGCAATGGCCGCTGCCCTTCAGGGGCTAATCCCTCCAGAATTGTTTGCTGCTCTTAAATGCCCAGGAAAGTGTTTTAATTGTGGAAAAATAGGCCATTTTGCTAAAGAATGTAAATAAAGAAAGAATGATAAGAACAATTGTAAAACTACAGCTCCAACTCCTCATCCGTCAAAGAGAACAACCCATCTTTATTGCCCACATACGTTCACACAGTAATTTGCCTGGCGCCTTAGCCAGAGGCAATAAAGCTGCTGTCGCACAGCTTTATACGGCACACTCCAATCTGCAGCGCACTCAGGCCTCGCATCAACTACATCATCAGAACAGTCAATCCCTGCACAAGTTGTTTTATATCCCTCGTGAAGCCGCACGGCAAATAGTTCGTGCTTGTCCTGAGTGCCCCATCCACCAATCTGTTCCATCTTTCGGAGTTAATCCTCGAGGTTTATGCCCCAATGCTTTGTGGCAAATGGACGTCACACACGTTCCTAACTTTGGTCAGCTTAAGTATGTGCATGTTTCTGTAGACACCTTCTCCGGCCTCATTTGCTGCTCCCCCTTAATGGGAGAGGGGACCACCCAAGTGATAAAACATTGCTTACATGCCTTTGCCGCTATGGGCATACCTCAAAGCATTAAAACAGACAATGGGTCTGATTATACCAGTGCCCGTTTTACGGTGTTTTGCAAGACCTTCTCTATCAAACATACTACTAGCATTCCTTACAATCCCCACGGCCAAGGCATTGTTGAACACACACATGCCACTATAAAGTCTTATCTTGAAAAAATAAAGAAGGGGGAATCCTACCCCCACACACCTCAAAATTATATCAACCACGTCATTTTCATCCTTAACTACCTTTTAACTGATGCCTCCGGCCTCATGGCTACAGATAGACAGGGCAACCGGGAGCCAAGCACCCCGAAACCTATGGTAAAATGGAAAGATGCCCTAACAGGCACATGGAAGGGACCCGACCCTGTTCTTATATGGGGACGAGGCTATGTTTGTGTCTTTCCACAGGATGAACCTGGCCCTCATTGGATTCCTGAGCGCCTTGTGCAGCATGTGGCTGACGCAGGCGGCGATCCATTGGGCTGTCGTCCCACACCCACCGCTGGTGAGACCTGTGTCCTGGAAGGAGAGGAATCAAGCCCCGCTCCCATTATACTCGAATGACTCAAGCATGGGGCTCCCATCAGATGGTCACCTGATTAGAGAAATTCAGACATATAATTATACTGGATGCAGTTACTCTCGTCCTATTTGCCATACAGTTACCGACAACTCTTTCACATCAAATGTGTGCCATATTGCTCCTTTGGAATATGGACCTATTGGAATAGTTGCACAGAATTTGCGATGTCCTGCCACCAGTGTTTGTAAACTTAATCACACTTCTGACAAAATTTCTTTATGCCTTCCTGAACCTTTTGTGTTTCTAACTGGGAACATTCATGTTTGGAATTACATTTCATCAGGGGGATACTCTAGATATAAGTTGTCTCCATTGTCAGTTGCGTACCTGTATTACAGACTTGCTACCTAATA